CTCAAAAAGCTGGTAAAGAAAAAGATGGCACAAAAAGAAAATCATTATCTGATAGTGAATCTGATGATAGCAAATCAAAGAAGAAAAGAGATGCCGTAAGTATTAAACACTGCCCACTAATCTGACTTTTTGTGAAAAGTTGATGGCCCCACTTTTTAAATGTTCTTTAATTTTAAAAACAATATTACAGTACCTTTTTAGAATGGTTAATATTTAGGACAAAAAGAAGAGGCATAATTTGGCATACAGTGTGTGAAAGCGTTGTTGATTGCTGTGGAGTCCGTCCCGACTCATAACAACCCCGTATTTACAGAGTGTATCTTTGGGGTTTGCAAAGCTGTGACCTTGCAGAAAATATCACCAATACTACCTTCCAGGGTTCAAACAACCTTTCAGCTTAGAGTTGCACACCTAGCCCTTTACAACACAAGTGCTTATATCTGTTAAAGTGATATACTGCTGTTCTTTTGTTAGATTAATTTGTTAAATTTGTCCCTGATTGTGCTAGATCGTTATGATTGAAGTCCTGAAATCTTAAATACGAACAACTAGAACATTTTTTAAAAAACTAAATATAGTATAGAGAGTTCTGGTGGCATCGACTGTAATGAGTTGTGCAGCTAACCCAGAGGCAGCATACCTCTGGCAATTCGAATCCAACATTGACTTGGTAACTGAATGATGGACAAACTCTCAGGAGATTAGTAGTCTCTGAAAACTCACTGTAGGGTCAGCTATGAGGCTGAGTCAGATATAGGATAGATGCTAAATGTCTAGTACTGATAACTGAAAGGTTGACAATTTGAATTCAACTGCTCTACAGAAAATGGATAAGGAAGTCACGCATATGATTCATAGCCCTGGGCAGTTCTACTTTGTCTTATAGGGTCAACACGACAGTGGATTAAACATACAGGTAGATTTCATTTGTTGGTATGATACTGTGACATTTAGTTAATAGATGGGTTTAATAACATTACATCACATATCAAGCCCTTATGATGTGTCTTTGTACTAAATAGCTTAATTTACATCTCATAAACCTATGAAATAGATAACTATAATTATTCCTATTTTACAGAGAGTGAACCATATACCACAAAGCTTTTAGGTAACTTACCCAATGCCACATACCTAGTAAGAGAGTAATCATTCCAATTCAGGCACTCTGACTCTAGAAAAGAGCTTTTGCCTATATGAGATCTATGGTAATACTTACTGAATTAGAAATTGAAATCCGTTTTTAAAATACCTGTATATTGATTCAATTAAGGAGAACAGTAAAAAGTATTTTTGCAATATATAACCACGATGGAACTTTTAAAAAAGTTTGAAATAGACATGCCATTTGGAACTTTTAAAAAGAGTTTGTAATAGAAATGCTATTTGACCCAGCTATTCCACTACTGAGAATATAAAGAAACCAGAACCATGACACAAATAGATGCACACACACCCATGTTTGCCCACATGGTTTGAATTTGCAGTGGCAAAGAGATGGAAGTGACCCAACTACCTGTCAACAAATGGATGGGTAGAAAAACTGTGGTACATCCACATAGTAAAATAATGATGCAGCATTGAAAACAATGAACTTGGAAAACACTATAACATGGATGAATCTGGAAGACATTGTGAGTGAAGTATGTCCATCACAGAAGGACAAATACTGCATAACACCCCTGTTAAAGATTGACACGGTGGGGTGCGGACAACAGAACGAGTGGATAGATAATGCACAGGAACAGATGGGAGGAAGGAATGTGTGATGAGGCTTTTTTTTTTAACAATCTGGAACAGGAATTACAGTATGAAGTGAACTGGGGGAGGGAAGAAAATGTGCAACAGTGAGTGAAAACCCAACCTTACTGTAAACTTTGTTGAAATCACAAAAATTTTTCTAAAGGTAAACACATATTTTTTACATGTTAAAAATAGCATGGGGTTTTTTTGGTGAGAATTTTTGAAGGAAACATTTACAAATCATTTGTCTTTAAAATAGTAAGAATAGCATTGTTTTCTAATTTTCCTAATACAGTGTTTAATTGCTTTTGTTCCACATTTGATTTGCTATGGTATGTTGTTTTGGTTGAAATCTGGAGAGACAATCCAAGTCATACAGATACTTAAATGGAAAGAAAAAGATCTTGCAGGCCTCCTGAAAAGGTCCTCATACCTTTGAGAGCCTTTGGCTTAAAATACTAATTGTTGTTCTTTTGCCTTCCAGTTGGAACTGGCCCCTAGCTGACTTTCCAGTGGTTTTTCAGAGACAGTAAATCCACAGGAAGGGGATTGCCCATCCTTCTCTCTCGGAGCATCTGGTGGATTCGAACTGCAGCCGTTATAGCTTGCCTCCGGAACCCTATGAACCTGGAGAAAGGATGAAAGTCACACAAGTGTTGAGGCCTTTCATTCATAGGGTCCCTATGAGTCGCCTACGACTCGACAGCATTTAACAACAACAACAACAATAATCTTACCACTAGACCACCAGAGCTCCCATAGTACTCATTAGTCAGAATTTAATTTTTTAATATTTTTTTTTCTGTTTTGTATGATTACATAATGTGGGTCATTTAGACCAATTCTGTTTTAGAAGTTTATACTTTTTTATAAATTAGACTTTCCAGAAATGAGTGGATTGATGTTCTTTATATAAGTTAATGCTGTGTCCTGAAAACAAACTGGTTGTAAAGAAAAATGTGTGAAAGCATTGTGTAAATTTCAGTGAACCTCTCAAACAGGCTGACAAGCCAAGAGGCTTTGCCAGAGGTCTTGATCCCGAACGAATAATTGGTGCCACAGACAGCAGTGGAGAATTAATGTTTCTCATGAAATGGTAAGTGACAAAACCATTTTCTGTCTGGGGTAATCTGCTAAAAAGGATGGATTATAGTTACAGAGAGGTTGCAAACTGTGACCCATCTTTGAAACTAAACTTTGAAACATTGTCACAACTGCTTTCTAACTTCCTAAATCACTTCAGTGGGTTTTTTAAAAAAAATTGAATTAATCTTTTTAAAATTAATGATTCTAAGTTGGCATAAACCGTGTATAGGTTTTTAATTGTGTCTTTTTCCTCATAACAGGAAAGATTCAGATGAAGCTGACTTGGTGCTGGCTAAAGAAGCAAACATGAAATGTCCTCAAATTGTAATTGCATTTTATGAAGAGAGACTTACTTGGCATTCTTGTCCAGAAGATGAAGCGCAATAATTGTTTGCATTGCTTT